GAGAGGACAGTCTGGACTTCCTGTGCAATCTGCCGGCTTGAAAACAAAAACCCGCTCTCGGAGAAAGCGTTCATTACTGTGCTGAGCGGCGACGAGAAAACGCCCAGCCCTCATCTTCGGGTTGGGCTGGGGGGCGAGTGGTTTCCCAAGTCACCGACCGGTAACGTCCAGGCTCCGGAAAAATGCAAATTAGATTTAATGCTTTCCTCAGCTGGGCTCACAGGTAAATTCCACAACGTGAAATTCACCCTTCCGGAGCTGAACCTTTACTAAAGCGAACAGGCTTGGAAAACAGTTTGCTTGAAAAACACCGCAAGTTCAGGTTTGGAGTGTGGGGATTCAAGCTGGAACCGGGATCCGAGGAGGGGACTCAGAGCCTCGGGGAGCTCAGCCACCCATCTGTCATCGCTGTCACAGAGTGTCGTCACAACATACAATGGGGAGCGGAGGGCGCAGGGTCAGCGTGGCCCTGGAAGCCCCCTCTCCCGCCAGCCAAGGACATCCGATCTCCCGTAAAAACAACCTCTGGCCTCCCGCTCGGAAGCTGAACGGCTCCGGAGTTGGGGATGCACCCGCTGTGCCTCTCCCAGGGGCCCCGGGAAGGAGCACTTTGCTGCTGCCATTCACTTGTTACAACAACTGATGGGTGAAGAGAGTAGCCGTCGGAATTGCTTCTACGGACATTCATCAGCTGTTGGCTTCCTCTGCATTTTCATTGCCACTGAAGACAGAATTATATACGCACTAGATTTCTCTTATTCAGCCCCCTCTCTCAGATGTATGTATAGTATAACCAGGATGGATGGATGGATGGACGGACAGACAGAGGACAGGTAATCCAGTCTCACTGTAACAGCAGTTGACTGTCACAGGGCAGAGGGCCCGCGGCAGGCTAGGAGACTGTCCCCAGCAGCCAGGCTCCAGGGCAGGGACGCCAGGCGAGGAGGCCGAGATCTCTTTGGAGGCCGCCTCATTAATGAGCTGATTGTTTACTCAAAGCCCAAGGTCACAGACCTTAAAAAAAGAAACAAAATCTCGTCGCACAGTGCCCTTCACTACACAGATTACTGTGCTTTCACATGAGATTGAAATGATGTTTGCCCTGGCTGGCGTAGCTCAGTGGATTGAGTGCGGACTGGGAACCAAAGTGTCACAGGTTCGATTCCCAGTCAGGGTACATTCCTGGGTTGCAGGCCATAACCCCCAGCAACTGCACATTGATGTCTCTCTCTCTCTCTCTCCCCCCATCCCTTCCCTCTCCAAAAATAAATAAATAAAATCTTTTTAAAAAAATGATGTTTGCGTCTTTAATCTCATGACGTGGATGTAGTTTCCCTCCACTTCCTCCGCAGCAGCTGGAGGCGGGCAGCCTCGGAGCGTGGTTCAGACCAGCCCTGTCGCACGCTGCCACTCAGGCGTGTGCAGCACGTGCAAAAGACCACTTAAGTCAGGAGTCGCTTCAGCTCCCCGATGGTCATGTGCAAGGGAGGCAATGTTGCCTACTTTAAGGAGCTGTGCTGAAGATCAAATAAGAACTCCGTGTGGTGTTTAGTTTAGTGTCCAAAAATGTGTCCTCCAATACGGTAGCCACTAACCACGTATGGCCATGTGAGTCAAATTTAAATTAATCAAAATTCAGACATTAGCCCTTCAGTCGCACTCGCCATGTTCCGAGCGATCAGCAGTCTCCTGCGGCTGGGGGCTGGCGTCTCGAGAGCTTGCCCACCACCAGGGACAGTTCTGGGTGTGCCTCGGAAGGTAGGGTGAGCTCAATAAACGCTCGGTGGCCTTTTTCCATCCTCCTCACCTATCTCCCCGCGTTCTGGCCGCCCCAAGGTTGTCCCGACCAGGGAGGAAAGCAGTGTGGTATAGCACAGAGCCATCTGTCCCTTTTCCACCGCCCGGAATCCTGAGGCTCTGGAGGGTCGCAGCGGGGAGAACTTCTGACAGTGGGGTCGCCGGGCCCTGGGGAGGGGCGTCTTGGGCAGAGAGAAAAGCAGCATCTGCAGCACCCACCCCCCGCCCCGTGTACCCCTGGAGAGCCCCCTCCTCGCAGCACTGACTGGGACACGTCACCATGGAGACGATGAGAGAGAAACGGGCCTTTTCCCCTCTATTTCGTGCCCAGTTCACCCTGGCTGAAACCTCTGAACGTAAGCATAAATCATCGACCTGTTTCCAGACACTTTAACCAAGTTCGCTGTGGGCCCTCGAGGAGAATTCTTTGTATTAGTCTGCCTCGGTTTGGGTGCGGGGTGGCAGCGGGGGGCAGGGGACGGGGGCTTTGTTATTGTTGTGGTTTGGCTCCATTTCCTCTCTCCTCCCAAACACCAGAATCCAGGCTCCCAGAGTGAAAATACCGACAGGGGTCTAGAAAGTTTTGGGGAGGTGGAATTCTAAGAAGCTGGAATTTAACAGGATCCCCAAGAAGACTTCCAGTCTCAGACAATAGCTGGGGGCGTCTGGTGAAACTGTTCTGTAGACCCTCATAGACTGGGCCTACATGTTCTCGAACGGGACTTCCCTGAAACAAGGAATCTGAGGCGGCAAACCTCAAAAGGGACACATATTGTTGCTCTCAGCGTGTCACTCGGAGGAGGCTGGCCCACGTGCCTTGTTAGCAAGGAGGAGAAGGAGTATCTAGTCCTTCATAAAATCACCAGGTGGTGCCCTTCCCGGGAATATGCAAAGCTTCTTTCCCAAGTCAAGATGCAAATGTGTGAAAATTGTGACAGACTGTGCCTTTCAAGGTGGAGCTGCCAGTGGGGCCAGTCTGCTCTCGGAGCCTTGGCAACCGTATCTGCATACACCTGGTAATGAACTTGATCATGTGTCTCTGGTGAGTGAAATCAATGCCCTGCTGGTGACATTTCAGGTGACATGAACACATCGTTCTCTTCTCTCGCCTGCGCCCCTGCGGCCGACACCCCCTTTGACTGCATGCATGCCAGTGTGCGTTTCACTCGGTAATCACCACCAGTCCTGGGTTCTCACGTCGCCACTCAAGTCCGTCCCCAAACGGTATTCTGGATGAGGCTGCGTCTGGATACTTTTTGTTGTCAGATCAACAAGGAAGATTGTGAATTTCATTAAACCACAACACAATGATAAAAACAAGTTGCAAGCGTTTTATTCTGCTGAAAACATGTATTTATTAGCAGTTAAACACAAAAACATAAACTACTGCTTTTGGAAAGTGTAAAGAATATAGGATCGTAGTTTTGAAAAATGCAACCCTCAAGCTACTGTAATCAATTGCCATACATTTTTTGTTATTGCAAAGTGGTCCATATGTCAAACACTGACATAAAATTTCAGCCACTAAAAGACATTTTCCTGTCCCGTTAACTTCTATTTGGCTATTTTTTTTTACAATATCAGGCACATACCATGTGTGATATAACTATTATTTATTATTACTGGAGTATTATTTTTTCCACCAAAAGAAATTCCCTACTTTTACTACCTTTTGATGTACATTTCTTTTCCTATTTTTTTTTTGAAGATTTTATTTATTTTACTTTTAGAGAGGGAAAGTGGGGGAAGAAAGAGAGGGAGAGAAACATCAGTGTGTGGTTGCCTTTTAAGCGCCCCCTACTGGCCACCTGGCCCACAACCCAGGCATGTGCCCTGATTGGGAATCGAATGAGCGACCCTTTGGTTTGCAGGCCAGTGCTCAATCCACTGACCAGACCAGCCAGGGAGTCCTCCTATTATTTTGAGGAAGCATTCTTTAGTGAAGATACATTAGAAGGAAAAGCGCTATAAAAAAAAAAAACACCTTACCAACTTTTAAAAAGACGTAACAACTTACCAACTTTTAAAAGGAACAAAAATTCACAGACACCAACTCACTCTGCACAGCAGCTGATTATCCAGCCCACACTTTCTAATAATAATAATGGTAACAATTCCATCATTTCCACCTGTCACAATTCTTTGACTGAAGAACAGAAATCACACTGACTTAACCTAAACCCAAGCGACAATTCTCTTACAAGAATACAAATATGTCATTGAGTCAAAAAGGGATCGGAGCTGAAAGCGGGCAGGTGTCAGGAGCTAAGAAGTCCTCTCTCCTCCTCACCTGTCTGGTTCACTCTCCTCTCCAAAGGCTGACACTCCCCTGCTTCTCCGCCAGCACCCTGCACGGAGCTGCCTCTCAGCTCCCAGGTTACACGCACAGCTTTGAGCTGTTCTTGGACCTCGACTGCTCACCTGGAGACTCAGATCGGCCTGGCTCGGCCCAGTGCGCATCCAGGGGTCAAGGGCACCGACCGACCGAGGCGGGGGGCGGGGGGAGGGTCAGCTGGCCGTGCCCAAAGTCGGAGGCCGGCCGAGGAGAGCTGGGAATTCGGGCATGTCGTCCCACGTCCTCCAGCACTTTTCTCCGCAGAGTCCACTTCCTGTCTTCCCTCCAGACGTGCTCTCGAGAACGGTTTCGCACCAGACACGTGCGTCTCCCGCCGGTTCAGACCTCTGGCTCACCTGCCCACGGATGCAGGGTAGGCCTGACCTGAGCGTCTGTCTCCACACCTACGGCTACGGCTGACTGACGGCGTCCCTCTGCGGTTTGCATGTCCACGCCCTGCTGCGATGGTGTTTGGCGCTGGGGCCTTCGGGGGGTCACTAGGTGGCGAGCGGGGAGCCCCAAGATGGGACCGGTGTCCTCGTCAGGAGAGGAAGAGCGCTCACCGGCTCCTGTCTCCCCCAAGAACAGATACAGGAGAAGCAGCCGTCTGCCACCGACAGGGAGGAGGGCCCCCTCTGAGCCCGGGCCCAAGGTCACCCCGACCCCGGGCTGCAGCCCCTGGCACTGTGAGAACTCAGTGTCCCTGTTGGGGCCACCCAGCCCTGGTGTCTCGTCCAGCAGCTGAGACACTGCTGACGACAGGCGCGCCTCGTTATGATTCACCCGGGGACACGATGATGAAGAGCGACGTGGGAAGAGTTTCCCCTCCAGCAGAGCTAAGTGAATCGCTCTGGAAAGACTCGGGGGAGCCACAAGGCGCCATGGAAAAATGTTCCGTCACCAAAGTCCGTGCAAGAAGACGTGCGGAACCCTGGAGGGCTGGGTGGGGACCCGTGGTGAAGGCCCACGGCCGCCCCCTCCCGGTTCCTGCTCCACTTCCAAGACACAGGGGCCGGCACTGCATCCGCAGACTCACTCGCACGCAAAACAGCAGCCAAAGGCCCCGGCCCCATATGAAACGACTTGCAAATAAATGAATGTACCCAAGTGATTTAAGTTCGAACAAGTGTGTCTCTCCCTCCCTCACCCTGTCTCCTCCCCTGTGTCATTTTTATGGCTTCACTGGGCTTTGCCTGGGAGTAAACGGTGTGAGTGGCTGACCGAGTGACCTGGGAGCACAGAGCAAAGTGTGACCGTGCTGCTGGACACCGGCCCAGGAGACACGAGCACCGCACGAGCAAAGGCCCGGAGGCCCCGGGACACGGCTTGTGGAGAAAACACGTGAACAGAGCAGGAGCCCAGAGAGATGGGTCGGGGCTGGATCTTCCTGGGCCTCGTGAGGAAACAGGAGAGACACGCGGGGACACGCAGGATTTCAAGCAACGGGGGCCTGGTCCTTGCACGTTGGGCATCCTCCCAAGGTCCCAGTGACGGCAGCAGTAAGGGGGCGCGGGGGGCATGGGGACGGTGTGACCTCAAAAATAAAATTATTTCAAGAGTCCAAGCAGCAAAGGAGAGACTAAGTAAGCAGCAACGAAAATGATCCTCTCGCTAGCAGAGGAGAATCCACAGGACGCGCTCCGCGTTCTCGGCGAGGGCGGGAGGGCTGCAGGGAAGGCTCCTGCACGCCGGGATCCCGGACGGAGCTGGGGGCGCCTGCGGGTCAGGAGGCGGAAGCGCCCGAGAACCCTCGGAGCCGCAGGCCGGGCACCCAACGCTCCAGGACAGGGTCCGAGGCCGCGGGGGCGGTCACTGAAGCGGCCGGAGGTGAGCAAGGGTCCGGCCGGGGGCCGCCCAGCGCACCGCGGGGAGACTGCGGCGGCGCGGGGCGGAGGAAGGGGCCCTGGGCGCTGCGGAGAGAGCGGCTTCCGGGCGGGGTGGCGGGGCCGCGGGGCGGCGCTCTGGGAGGCGGGACACTGGCCGGGGATCCCGCGACTCCGCGACACCGCCTGGGGGGGGGGGCGGCGGGGAGCGCACGCCTCGTTCCGGGAGGAGTCCGACCCGGCCGTCCCGCCGCCGGAGCGCGAGCCCTGACGCGCGTCGCCCAACCGCCTCGCCGGCTCCGGGTGTTCGGGCGCCCCGGGGTGCCGCCCTCTCCGCCCAGCCCCGCCCACCTGAAACCTCGCGGTCCTCCGCCACCCGGACCCAGGACCTCGCCTCCGAAGCCCGCCCTGAGGCTCACGGGACAATCTCAAGCACTTCATTTTTGTGTCCCTAAAGCTTTGGCCGTGCCTTAACGGTTTGGTGTCATTTGTTGTGCATTTGGCTCAAAACAAAGGGAGAGCTTGATTTCACAAGCTACTTGTGACAGAGAACTACAAATCCCATGAGGCAGTGGGGCTGCGGGACCACGACTCCCAGCAGGCTCCGCGAGGCTCCCGCTCCTTTCGGCGCAGGCGCTCCGTGCCGGGGCGGAGCAGCTTTGCGGGATGGCAGCTTCTGAGGAGGGGCCTGAACCCCCTACGGAGCCCCTGGACATCGCCTGCGGCCTGGAGAACGTGCCTGTGAGCGTGTGGCCCCCGGGGGCGGTGCCAGAGCCCTTCCAGGTAGGGGGCGGGGCTCGGCCTCCCAGAGCGCCGCGCGCGCGGGGAACCCATCCTCCTCCGTGGGGCGGGGCTCGACGGCCCCGGTGCTGCGCGCGCAGCCACTGGGGTGGGCGTGGGTCCCTGAAGGTAGGGGGCGGGACTGGACGGCAGCGCCGGCTTTGCGCGCAGCCCCCACGGGGTCGCACTCTTGGGGACGGCTGTCTTGCGGCAGGTTTTCTCCAAACTTCATGACTTTTTTACCCCGTCGCACAGCAGTTTGCGGTCAGGAATAGCTCTCAGAAGCACAGGCCTCGGTCTTTTTCTGTTAACGTTCCACGGTGACCTTAACGAGACTACTCGTCTTTCCTGCCCGCAGACTGGCAGTGCCCTGAAGGGCAGAAGCGGAGGTGTCAGGAGGTCCCCCAGAAAGAGCCCCAGAACCTGGCTTTCTGTTCTCGTTTTGTCCCCCAAAACTCACTGAGTCCCAGGTGTCATAAGGAAGGTGAGGCAGAGGTCCTATTAACGGACCTCAGGCAAGCGTCGAGGTTAAAACCCTGGCCCCTGGAGTCGGACTTGGCTGGCTGAGTCTGCACCGTACGTGAGTTCCTGGGCAAAAATGAACTAGTCTCAGCTAAGCCTTAGCGCCCTCCTGTGCACAATTACAATAGTGGTGCCTCTCTCCCAGGTTGCTCGGAGCATTGCAACGAAAATGCTGCTCCTGGTTTGCTGAAAGCAGTCAGCAAACGCTCACGACTACTACTGCCTCAGAGCCCTTTCTGCATCTCTCACCCCTCCGACCTTGGCCTGCATGTTGCCTAAGGAATAAGCAATGGCCAAAAAAGAAAATAGTAATTAAAAGACCAGGGTGTTGGAGTGGATAGAGCCCTGGGCCTGGCGGTAGGAGGGCTGGGGTCAGGGCTTAGCCTCTCAGCTGTTTTCAGATCCCGTGTTTCTTCATCTGCAAAAGGAAAACAATGTAACAATGTGTAGTAGCCCTGGTCACATCCATTATCAATCCGGAACCCTGTCTGTCCTCCCTGCCTCCTAGAGGTGCTCGAGGATCAAATGACAGCAGACTCGGTGGCAGTTTTCAAAGAGCAGAGCAGAATGTCAACAGCAGAAATGGTTGTTTTCCCTCGAACTACTTAGGCACTCACGGTCACGATACGGTTGGCTGGCACCGTATTAAACACCGATCCCTAAAAGCTTATTCATAACCAAACATTGCAGCCACCTGGTCAGAAACACGGATGAATATGTTTTCTTCATTCAACGGATAACTGAGTGCCCGTGAGGGGCCAGGCACCTGGTAAGCTAGGCGTACGAGACGGTGACACACAGTTCCTGTCCTTGAGTTTGCGATAGAGGGCAGAAGGCACCTCGTTGCTATAAACAGGCTGGGGGGGGTGGGCGGGGAGCAAGCCTCGTGATCGATCCTTACACCTGCAGCTGATGGGCATGAGTGGGAATCAGGAGACAGACTCAGCCCCACGGCGCTCCAGCCGCCTGACTCTGAGCATAGCTCTGGGCAGAATGAGTCACAGAAAGGAGAAATGATCCCTGCCTCCGGCTTCCAGTCTCACCCAGAAGACAGAGCATGACTGAAGCATTTCAGTGACAAGCCTAAAAGTGCCTTCAACTGGTTTGCCCGCGTATATTCATGGAGCACAAAAACCAGTCTTACAGAGGTCAGAACAGCTTGCTTGCCCTAAACCCTGCCTTCACAGGCACATGTACACATAAGAATTCAGGCATGAAAACTCGGGTTAAAAATAACCTGGTGTCTAGTTTGCTTCCGAGTACTGCATGAAAAGGCAAAAAAGAACATTCAAACGTTCAGATTGGAAACAGGCATGTCATAATGCCATGGGAACTGAAACCTGAGTAGAAGAAAAACTCATTGATTTTCTTGAACTAAGAGTTGGATCTAGCCATTTTTCGGGTTCCTGAAACCAGCTTCAAACATCCTCCTTAACATTGTAACTTGGCCTTGAGAAGAATTATCTGGCTGGCGCACAGTCTCCTAATAGCTGCTCAGAGCAAAAACAAACTCACGGGGCTGGAGGCCAAGCACAAAGATTCTTGGAGCTGGTGTTTCAAACAACCAAAAAAGGAATCAGGATTTTCACGGCACTTCCTTAAAATCCAAAACGGAGGCCAGGTTTGCAGCTCAGGATGCTGCAGAGTTGTACTTCATATTCCGGGGTCTCAGCACAGAATGCGACTCAGAAAAGTCAGACCTCCGACCAGAAGTTATCAAGCAATGAAAAAACAGTTCCCCGGTCACCTGCCGCACGCCTAGTGCTGTGGAACCGGACCCCTCACCACGCCACCCCCCGAGCCCCATGACCGTGCCTTTCCTTGAGACACAGATGTGTTTAAGAGTCAAGGCCCCCGCATGTAGTACAAGCAGAGAGCCCTGCAGTCTGTGCCACTTGGACCCTGAAGTTCATGCGTAAGTGCAGGCCGGTTCAGAGAAGGACAAACAGTGTGTGGGAACAGCCAAGGGGGTGCATTTGCTCTTCAACATGCTGTGTCCTGTCGCCACTTTGGCTTCTTGGGTGATCATGGTTTATTTTTTTTAAATAATCCCTTATATCTTCTGACAGAAAACCTGAAATCTCTACCCAGATCTTCCAGGATCTGGTTTCCAGTGCATCGCTGTGCACTGAGCATTTTGCTTTGCTCCCAACTCTCTCGAGATCCATCTCGCTTTGACACATCCCAGGAAAAATAGAGCCTGTGTTCTGACGATACTAAAGGTGATTTTAAAATGCCCCCTTTTGCACTTTTCCGAGAGCTTCTTCCGAAGCCCCAGCACGTCCCAGCACTAGGCCAGGTCTGTGGGAGAACGAGATTAGTCCGGGCTGGGCCAGCCTACCCGGCGCCCCCCACGGAGCTGGGCGGGTGGGGGAGGCTGGGAGGTGGAAAGGTCACCGTATGGTTTCCTGGCCGGGATTTTGGTTTGAGTGAGTCTGAACCTGGGGAGTTGAACTCCAGACCTGACTTTTCACCCCACTCTTGGAGCACCTGCGAGATGCACGGTGGGCCCTCGGGGGCCAGCCGCTGGAGTGGGCTTTGTGTGCGGACTCTGTCCGCTGCTTCACGGCCTGTGAGGCAGAGAGGAAGTGTCTGGGGAGCTTGAGCAGTGTGCCAGAGACACATGATGTTTTATACACGAAACCCGGACGGAGCATCCGGAAGTCCGGAAGGAGGGTCTTCCAGACGGTGCCAGTGTGAGGGGCCTGGCGCTGAGGACAGAGGGCCACCCAGACCCAGGAGTCACTGGAGACCCAGGCTTCATGGAGAGACCCGAGACATAGGACTTTTTCCTTTCCCTGTTACCGATTATAAATGTGAAATTGTGAAAATGCAGGTGCACTTAAAAGACCAAGAAACTTCCATGTTCTCCCTTTCTCACTAAGAGGATTCCTTTACACGGATACTTCTACAGTAAATTGAAGTGTCTATGAATATCTCTGCAACAAGCACAATCTTCGGGATTCCGTCCGTAATTTCTTGGCCAAGTGCCTGTTTTTAACATTGTGAAGATTCAAGTACAACTGTAGAGTGGCTTTAAAACATCAGAGAATACTAAAGAATTTAGATAGTCTTTGAATTTAAAAATCACTTAAAAAAATCAATGGAAGACACTCCCAAGGCCATTTTTCATTGATTTCTCTCTCATCTTGACTTTCTTGTCTCCAAAAAGGACCCCAGGCAGCTCGCAACAGAAATACATATACACACACATGCATCTGTGCTAGAGAGAAATGGAAAAGACCGAAAGCCAAGGGCAGACACCTAACTGCACCCAGAGCCCAGATTCAGCTCTGAGTTCCTGACATCCAAGGCTGAGAGAAACAAATGGGTTACAAAGTGTTCAGCTTCTGGTTTAAAAAAATTATTTTTCTTGTTCTTCCCATACCTGAAGTGAAACGCAGAATTTGAAAACTTAAAATTAATGTTATCTTTAAAGTGGAGAGTTATGTTTTCAGACATAGGAGTAAGAAGTAGTGCCCGGCCCCCCCAAACTGCTTGTTCGGTCCGGAGGGACACCACCCGCCGCACTGACATGCTGTCTCCGGTTTTGCAGTACACTCCGGAGCACGTGGCGGGGCCCGGGGCAGACGCGGACCCCGCTGAGATCACCTTCCCCGGGTGCCTCTGCCTGCACCGCCCCTGCGTCCCCGGCTCCTGCTCCTGCCTCCGGCACGTGGAGAACTACGACGCAGACGCGCGCCTCAGAGCCCTGGGCTCGGCGGCAGGGTGCGCCCCGCCGGTCTTCGAGTGCAACGCCCTGTGCCCCTGCCCGGAGCGCTGCGCCAACCGCGTGGTCCAGCGGGGCGTGCAGCTCCGCCTGCAGGTGTTCAGGACGCGCCGCAAGGGCTGGGGGCTGCGCACGCTGGAGTCCATCCCCCGAGGCCGCTTCGTCTGCGAGTACGCCGGCGAGGTGCTGGGGCTCGTGGAAGCTCGGAGAAGAATCCGGCTGCAGACTCCGCGCGACGCGAATTACATCATCGCCGTCCGGGAGCACGTGTGCAGCGGGCCGGTGATGGAGACGTTCGTGGACCCCGCGCGCGTGGGGAACGTGGGCCGCTTCCTGAACCACTCCTGTGAGCCCAACCTGCTCATGGTCCCGGTCCGGGTGGACTCCATGGTGCCGAGGCTGGCACTTTTTGCAGCCAAGGACATCTTGCCCGAAGAAGAGCTCTCGTACGACTATTCAGGAAGATTTCTTAACCGAATGGACGGCGAAGACAGAGGAAGGCCCGCCGATGGGAAACTAAGAAAACCTTGTTACTGCGGCTCCGGGGTGTGCTTGGCCTTCCTGCCCTACGACGGGTCTCTGTACCTCGCCCCAGAGCCGCCGGGCGAGGGTCCGGGAGGGAGAGCCCAGGAGACACGCTCCTGCACGCCCCCAGGGCAGGAGGGGGTGATGGGGGCAGGAGGGAGTGAGGGGGAGGCCGGCGTGTGGGGGGCGGCCCCTGCGGTTCCCTCCCGGTGAGCTCCGGGCCGGCACCCGCCGCCCGTGTGGAGGCCAGGCCGCCTGCTCCCCTCTGCCCAGCTGGTGAGCCCAGCCCGGGAATGTGGCCGCGGCCACAGGCCACCCGGCGTACCCTCTCTCCCCGGGCACAACGGCTTCCTCCGCTTTCATCTGGACACACAGCCGCCCTGCTAACACCGGGGCACTTTCCCAGTCAGATGCGGCCGGCTGGCTTCTAGAAAGTGAGGTGCAAGCAGATGGTGAGGAGGGACCCCCCTCCTTCCTGCTGCCCGGATGTCCACGAGACCGCTGGGGCTGGAACACCCACTCCACGCCCGGGGTCACCTTGGAAACGGAAGCCACTCTGAACAAATGAACAAAACCGGAAGGAGTGTGGGTGCCAGGTGCCGTGGGACACGCCGCCGGTGCTGGGCTGACGCCTGTGGGCTCCCCGGTGAGAAACGGTGTCTCCCCCCGCCCCGCCCCGTGTGTGCCACTGGCACGCCGGCTCCCCGCTCCAGCGCCCAGTCAGAAGGGCCCGAGGGAACCCCCGTGGCCGCACACCCGCCTCCCGACCAGTTCTGCGCTAATAAAGCTGATAGCTGGACTTTTCTGCCCGGCTCCTGCCGCCTGTCGGTTCTCCTCGGTCTCTAAACGGAGCCAGGGAGGGCATGGCCGGCTCCGCCCAGAAAGCCTTGGGCGCTCCCACCAGGCACAACCGAGAGTCACAGTGGCAGCGGCTGTGACGTGTTCGCTGTGCACTTCAGATCCCCGCCCAGCCTCACTTCCCCCGCGTCAGTGGCGTGAAAACCCCACGGGCCGCCGCGGCCCCAGCGGGAACGGCGTCTTCGCGCCCCAGCCCAACTCCTGGAGGGGCGGGCACCTCTCAGCTCCTTTCTCAAAGCAAGGCCGTCGCAAAAACAAGTTACTTACGGAGGTTTATTAGACCCTTAGAAAGCTCAAATACTTGCTTGGGCCCCACACTGCAGTGTTACTTAATAAGTTAAATTAATTCATAGCTTCTTAAGTGTGCTTAGCCCCTAGCGCCAGGAGGCCCTGCGCTTTCAAGTTCCATCTTCGGGATTCGTGTTATCTCCGCCTGCTGCCTCTGGTTTGGGGGCCGATCACACACCTCGCTTACCGCCACCCCCCTGCCCACGCCCGTCCCCGCCCCCACACCGCCACAGAACATCACATGCTCCTCCCGCTTTTCCCCGAGAAGACTCAGTGAACTCGTTCATAAACAGCACCCCTCAGAGGACAAACAGGGCAGTAAGTGGTAATGTGTCCCTTGCTACAAAGCCAACCCGACTCGAAGAGTCCTGCGGGCATTGTGGGACATCCAAGTCCCCAAGCTCCAAGCTCCCGGTGCAGAACCCACGGTCCCACCCGAGAAAGCACGAGCCAAGGGTAACCCAAAGGCCACACGTCTCCTGGGAAGCTGCAAGCCGGGGGCTGCAGGCCCCCAGTTCCCACACACGCCAGCAGCTCGGGTCACAGGGCCGAGAGTCACGGAGAGCTCGCTGGAGACCCGCTGCCGCTCGGGTGTTCCCGGGCTCGGTCAGCTCCTGGTGCTGCTGCTGTGCAAAGGTGCGACAGAGCAGAGGCTGCTCCTTAGTTTCATCTGCCTGGCGTCGCCTTTGGGCGCTTCACCCGGGGACCCCGGGGGCGCCGTCCGCAGGGGAGGGGTCCTCGCAGACTGTGAAGGGAGGGCCCGCCGCAGGCCTGTGCCCAGGGCGGCACACCCCCACGTTCCATCTCGCCTCCTGCCCCGAAAGGGAGTCGGGAGATAGAGCCTCGGCAACAGCAGCGGCCCCCACAGGAACGGGGCCCCCGAGACACACGGGGACTCTCGGGGGCAGCCCCACGGACCCACGTCTGCAGGCAGAAAGGCCCGACAGCCCCGTCCCCTCCCCTTCCGGCAGAGAACGCACGTCCCTCCACCCCTCCACCCCTTCACAGAGACGCTCGCCAAAGCCCCCAGCGGCGACAGGCCCCAGTGCTCGGGGCGACGGGGCACTTGCAGAGGCAGCTCGTCCCGGGCCTCACTTGAGCCTTACTCGGCTCCTGGCCTTCGGACTACCATAATTTTTTTAAATTTGGGGAGCACATGAGGTCAGAAGCACCCCCAACCAAGCCACACAGAGGAACAGTCAGAATTCTTAGGTGGAGGGGGGGCGGGGCTCCGGACCTCCCCACCACAAGGACAAAAATACGTGGTGGTCACAGGCAGCCTCCAGGCCACTGCGGGTGGTGGGCGGGGCGGGGAGGGGAACAGTCCACTCCAGAAGGCTGGTTGCATGAACAGCAAATCACCTCTGCAGCCCACGGTCACGTGCCGTCAGGATGGAGCCCCCCGGGCACCCCTCACCCCCAGCACTGTATCCCAGCCACAGAGGGCTGGAGTGCGCCCGAGCCGAGTCCAGACGGCAGCCTGAGCCTCGCTCCACTCACCTCCCCTGGCAGCTGCTCCTGGATCCCGCAGAAGAATTTCCCCCGTGCTGAGCTGAGCTGCCGTGTTGGTTCTCAGCTTTGTTTTGGAATTAAAAATAAATAAATACATTGAAAAGCCACCGATTCACCATGGGGGGGGGTATATTGGCACAGCCTTTTGGAGGGCTGTCCGTATCCATCGCAAATTAAAATGACCGTATGCTTTGCTACAGGAGTCAGACTCCCAGTAATTTATCCCACAGAAATGTCTGCATAAGCTGGCAAAGATACAAGTAGGTACACACAGGTTTATTGGAATATTTTTTAAAGATTTTATTTGCTTATTTTTAGAGAGGGAAGGGAGGGAGATAGAGAGAAACATCAATGTGCAGTTGCTGGGGGTCGTGGCCTGCAACCCAGGCATGTGCCCTGACTGGGAATCGAACTTGCGATGCTTTGGTTCATAGCCCGTGCTCAATCCACTGAGCTACGCCAGCCAGGGCTATTGGAATATTTTTTAACAATAAAAACAGAAAATAACCCACATTATCCCTTCGCTGTTGTCCGACAGGGCCCTGGAGCTACCCTCACTTTCTGACATTCTTTCCTCAGCTCAGTTGGGGGGCCCTCCACCGCCCCAGTCTTCCGGGTCGCCGGTCCCCTCTCCAGCTTCGTCTGGTCCTCAGACCTCCCAGTGCACCTCTCAGTCCTGTCACCGCGTCCTTCAGCTCTGAGACGTCTGTGTGACAGACACCTCCTTACGTTTTCACTCTCTGCGCTGAAGTTCTCACCGTGTCCCTGTCTCTCCCGAGTTTGATGAGCCACGGCACGACCGAGACTTTGACCTCTTTACGGGGTGAGTTACACGTGCCCGTTTCACTAAGGATTTTCTCCTAAAGTGTTAGTTACCTGGTCCTTCTGTTTGGACCCCAGTCCTCTCCTTCCTCGCCTCGCCCGGCCCTGGGTGTGTTTCCGGTGGGCGAGACAGCCACCTCCCCCAGCCCTGCAGGAGAGCTCGTGGGCAGAAACTCCTTGCTGTCCGCCGTGGCCCTGGCTCCGCCCTCTTCTGTGATTGTCGGAGCAGCCTGGTTTATTCCGCGTGGGTCCCCCGCACTGAAGGTGTGCCTGGGCACACTGGGAGCGAGGCGCTCAGGCAGCAGCTTTTAAAGTTCGAGCATATATACACACACACACACACACATATATATTTTAATGTATGTGTTATATATAATATATATCAATATGTACATTCCTGTGGGGCCGCAATCGTTAACCCACTGGCCTCCAGACCAGGCGATCTGTAGGTGACTCCGGGCGACAGTTACAGAAACCCGGGCCCCGGCTGTGGGTGTGAGCGCCCTCCTGGGAGGTGCCCGCGAGCCGTGGTGGGGCCGAGGGAGAGCCGGCTCTGGCGGGGCCGCCAGGGGGCGCTGCGACTGCCGCCGCCTGCTGGCTCCCGCGGGCGGCTGCTTGGAACGAGCGCTCTCTCCCATGGTTCCTGTGCGCCTGCGCATACACGTACACATAGTCTGCACTGTGCACCCATACACACGCTGGAACATATGTTTTGCGAACGCGCAGGGAGAAGCCTGGGGAGACACACCAGCTGCCGAGAGTCGTTACCTGCTGGCCAGGATCTGGGAGCAGCAGACGCCAGTCCCGGAACGCAGGGCCTCTAAGCACAGTCTGCGCGTATCTTAGAGCTTCTAGTTTCACCTTACGCCTTTTGCTGTTCTTACAATTTAAAAAAAACACAAAGGTTTGGAAGTGATGCTTGCCAGTTACTAATGATAACTACTGACAAAGGCAGCGGAGATGCAGAAAGTAATCGGAGTACGAGCACAGACCGCCCCCGGGCCTCTCCTCCCCTCTGCAGGGCACGTCCTCCGGCGCCGCCCGGTCCTGAGGAACCCAGAGACCAGAGCTGCCACCCTTCAGGGGCCGCCTTCTCCCGCGGGAGCCTTCCCAAGCCCACGGTGCCCCTGGACTGAAGGTTCTTCAGCTCCAGGTATCCCTTGTGCAAAAACCGCAAGAAGCGACGTGGCCACTAGAGGGGGACATCACACCCAGAACCACTGCAGGTGCCATTTCACGGGGGAAAAAACCCGCTCCCTCGGCCACAGGTGCAGGGCCAGCTCCCCAGCTCCGGCAGAGACGGTCCGGAGCCGGCAGGCAGCCCACGCCATCACCGCTCTGACTCAGCCTCTGGCTCGCCGAGTGCTTCCTGCAGCGAAAGGTTTCGGCAATAAGGATAAGGTTACCAAGGGGAATTTCGGCGGTTTCTTCCTCCCCGCTGAACTGAACATCCACAAATGTTCCGGAACAGCGACAACGGCTGCCTCGGGAGCTGCCCCAAATGGCGCCTTCGCTGCAGCGCCCAGCTCTCGGCCGGCCAGCGGCGGGGGCAGAGGGCAAGGACCGGCAGCCGGTTCCACGGAGACCAGGGAGCCCTCCCCCTGCTTCCCAGACGCCATTTAACGAGCCCCGTGCGGGACATTTTTTTTTTCCATTCTTCACACACCACCCCAGTCGTCCCCGCCGGGGTCATCTTCCCCAGGGTCGTCTTCCCCGGGGTCTGAGCCTGGTGCAGACGAGCCGATAAGGCGCTTCCAAGCGTCACTATTTCCCACTTACCCGGCCTTCCCCAGCTGGCCCCTAAGAATTCCACCTCTTTACGAAGGCGATCATTTTACAGAAAGAAGTGGTACACTTGGGGGGAGAGGTCACAGGGGGTGGGGGGAGCAGGCCTTTTGAAAAGCCCAGGACCCGAGCACTGACCTTGGCCGCCTGGCCAGCTCGACCAGACTCACGAGGGCACCGACTCCTGAGGTTCAGGACGCCCGGGATGAGGCAGGTGGACATCTCGCACGCAGGCCGCTCTGCACTGACGACCTCAACCCGCCTGCCTCGGTCCTGCCTTCCGTAGAAGTGTTTCCCCGTAATCCCCGAAACTGCGGCGGCAAGCGGGGTCAGAAGGTCGCCCAAAGCCCCAGTGCTGGCACGTGGGAGGACAGGGGCTGAGACGGAGGCCCTCCAGACCCTGGGCCCGGGTTCCTGACCCCGGACGCGCCCCGCCACCGCGCTCTGGGCCCCTCCTCCCCCACCCCTCCCCACCCCAAACTCACAATCCGACGCAGACTGGTTGATGCGGTGGGGAACGCAAGTCACACAGTCAGCCCTGGTTCAGCCCCCTGCAGACGTGTCCCGGGGCACCTTGTGGACACTCTCAGTCCAACATTCCTAAGACAAGAGGGGGACGGAACCGCAAAGCAAAGACAACACCCACCAGGAGGACCACAGCTGCACGGAAGTAACTTTGACCTTTCTCACGGGCTGAATGATGCAACCGCCTTCCAAGGGGGCAGGGGCTGGGGACCTGCAGGGGGGGGTGGGCCCTGTCGCCTCCCCACCCCCACACCCCAGCAGAGGCTGCGACGTGGGGGCCTCCCACTCTGTGCCTCCGGTGGCCAAGTCCTTTGGCGGAGCCTTTCCCTATCAAAGCGGTTCCGGTGTCAGCAACAGCAACCGGAGAGCTCACGGGGCTCCCTTCCACATCACTGAAAAGCAAATAAAATGCTTTTTGGCAAGTGTCCGCAGCAGCAGCCAACTGTGGACTTCAAAACAGCAGCCCCACAGGGTCCCTCCCCCACAAGGACCAAAGTCAACAAGCAGGAGACCTCTTATCAGTGCCACCTGACAAGGACGCCTATCTCTCTCGGCTTATCTCTCTTCCGCAGAGAGTTCGGAGCTGGTTCTGCCAACATCCGCCCCCGGGCGCCCCCCCCCCCCCCAGTGCTCCTCCTGTTACTCAGAGGAGAGGCCCAGCCAGGAGGTGGGTCTTCCAGCTCCTCGGCAAAGACAACGGCGTGTGCTGTCGAGTGCGGCCCGGGCAGGGGCTGCAAGGGCAGCGCTCCCGCCCCGCCCCGCCCCCGCACTGGGGGATGGGGCCCGTCCTGCCCCACCGCTGGGGCCGATCCGGGGCTGATGGCTGGGGCCCCATCGCCTGCTCAGTGGGGTGGCTCTGGGGTCAGTGACCACTTGGGGGCGGGGGAGACTCCTCCCTTCCCCCCACCTTGGCGCTGATCCCCTGAACCTCCCGACCCCTAACAGGGCCCGAGTCACGGGGGGGCTCTGCTCCCACACCGCCTCCCTGGGTGGTCTCTGCAACGGCTTCTGCTCCATCAAAGAATGAATCAAACTCCCGCCGTAGTGGTCCCCACTCTCGAGGGGGAGCACGGAGGGTGTTCCGGCCGCCCACCGGCGCCACCGCGGCCTCCTGGGGTTCATCGTCTCCACGGGGCTTCACGCATGTGAAACAGTAAAGGCCTCGTTTTCCTCGGACAGGTTCTGCCAGCCTGGAAGACCAAGGCCTGCTCGGGGCAGTTTTTACCGCAGAGAGGTCAGTTCAACGTAGAAACGAACCCGGCAGTCCAGAATCCGACACTTCCGCCGTCGTCTGATATCACTCCGCCCACCTAGCCACGAGCGCGGCTGTCCGTGACCCTGAACCACGGAGGGTGCCGCAGAGGTGCCGGTGCCTGCTGCTGAGTGAGTGGGGCGTGGGGCAGGGGGCGGGGGGGGCATTTCCACGTAGGACGAAGCCCCCCGGGCAGCGCCTGCCCGTCCCCACCCTGGACATTATCAGCTGGCGCGTTACTTACCCCATCAGTCCCTTTTCCCAAGAGAAACACGCGAGATTTTGTGCCGCACACACCGACTCCGCTTTCCTGGACCGAGGCTGAAGGCGGCGCCCCGGGCCCAGCCTGGCTGCAGGGGCAGCTCCAGAGGCCTGCACGGCGCTCCTGTTCGCGCGTGGGAGCTAGTTGCCGGCACTGAAAATTCAGAAGGGTTCACTCGGGAACGCAGGCGCCAGCTGCTCCGGGAAGCGGGACGGGCAGCAGCTCTGGGCCCACTGCTGTGCGGCCACCATGGGGATGGCGGAGCAGCATCTCACACTCGCACGCGCGCACACACACACACATACACACACACAGGCCCGTGTCCTGCTCCCACCCCTCGCCCCCACCCCAGAGGGCCAGAACACCCCCCGCCTCCCGTTCCTTCCCGAGAGCTGCCTGCAGGTTGGCGCCCCAGGAGAAGCAGTGGTCAGTGGTAGGGTTCCCGCTGGTAAGGTTCATAGGTGATGGAAGGCCAGGAGGAGGAGGAAAAGAAAAAAATGGCTGAACGGGCGCAGACCCACATTGCGTTGGAGCTGCGGGCTGAACCACACGGAGTGTGAGCGCCGATGTGATCAGAGGTTCCCCAGCAGGGAAGTGTCACCCTGATGGCCACTCCACGCCCCAGCACACCCGCTCTAATCACGTGTGCGAGGCTTTAAAAAAGAAGGACGGTCTTGCTTCCCGCTCGGCCCATCTGCACACCCCGACGATCCATCACACTGTGCAGGACTCAGGACCCAGGGGGGTCTGGAACAGACCTCCGACCCCTCCCCACCTCGGGAGGCAGGGAGGAAGGGCGGGCAGCACAGACCCAGGGGAACAGCTCCTTACAAAACAAACAAAAAGCTGAGCAGCAGACAAAGATGCTGCAAAGCAGAGACTCCACCCCCCCGCTCTTTAAAAAGGGTCCACAAAGAAGCCTGCAAGCCCCCAGATTTTTACTTTTGATGCAAATGCCTCCGAAGACTCATACGCTGGAGAAGGAAGACGGAACCCCAGGGCTCACGGCTGCAAAGAGCTGACTGGCCTTGTCGCCGGCTACTAATGCCACGGGAAACCTAACTGAGCCACTGGTTTTACGGGGACCGTTGTTGTTTTTGTCCCTGCTCCGCTTACAAAATTCCTCAAGTTTAAGCACCTGCCCCTGCCCTATTTTTCCCAGGCCCGGTTTTTTACATGCAGTTTTGCAGAAGGGGGGACCTCTCAGGAAGGTATCGATGGCACTGAGGCTGGAATACTACACTGTCATCCTGTCGGTCACTTGTCCCTTGTCCATATGGGCACTCCACAGGGGAGGCGACAGGTGTCTGCAGCTGGGTGTGCTCCTTGGCTGGTGAGCTGCAAATGTGGCTCCCCAACTCGGGGCTTGTTGGGGTTTCGTCCTGCACGCTTTCCGACGCTGTGCTGCTGCTCAAGATGCAATTCTGAAGACTAGGCCAAAACACACTCCAAAATATTTATGCAATATCACATCCATTAACGGGAGAAGGACCCAAAACACACACGGCAAAAATAAAACCGTGTAAAAATACAGGCAGGTGGGAAGGAACAAGTGAAACAGAAGCTCCACTTGACACGTGGTGGTTTGAAGAATAAAATACCTTATCCCCCACATTAGTTTTTGCAAATAAGCAAATGCTTTTTTTGTTTGTTTTGCTTGGAATGAATCATCAATTGGTAGGAGTCTGCAGGGAAACATTCTACCTCCACAAACTGGCAGATTAATACACGTGAAACCGCCCAGGAGCACGGCTGTTTCTCAAGACAGACGTGGGAACGCTGGGAGGCGTGGCACCAGGTGGCAGTCACGTGCTGGCGGAATGATACTGACTTTCTCCACGACCGTCAGAGAGACGAGCCATTTCTTTCCAAGGACAACAGGCAGACATGTCTCCAGGCACCTGGGGGCCTGGGGGGCCAGGACGAGACCCTGACAACGGGGACCCCTGCTGGAAAGCCATGCCTCTAAGACGGGGCTCTCCTGCCTCGGAAGGGTTTACCGGACCACCCCTGATGTCCCCTCCTGCCCTGGGGCGCAAAGACGCAGGGGCACAGGGAGGCCCCGGGCGGGAGAGCCTGCTCTTTGGAACAGGAATTCCCACCAACAGCTCACATGTCAAAGCCATCACGTGGCCAGTGGACAGGGAGGTTTTCCAGCAAACACGCATGACGTCACCCATCATCTCTTCACCAGAAAACACCAGGAGGCGGGAACAAAGGAGCCAGCACGCGTGAAGGCTGTGACCGCAGACACCGGTTTATTCCACAGGGGGCGGGATTCACAGCGTCTGAGCCCCCTGCCGCTGAGCCCGCACAGACGCCGGCGCCCGGGCACAGTTCCTCCACGGCCCCCCTCCCCCACCCCCAGAACCTGGCAGGTCTCCCGCGGTCTCACATTCACAGAAGGCCGTGGGGAGAGGGGGGATGGGGCTGGGAACTGCCCCCTGAACCAAAGGCACTTAATGTAAAAAGATAAAGCACAGTGGGGACACCGACGACGTCCCTGCGAGTTCACAGGCTGAACCGGAACCCACAGCCACCGCCGGCGGGAGTCCCCGCACGATGAGAAAGACACCCATTTCCTTGGAAAAACAAAGTGCACGTGACGATAAAGACTGGGCAGGGCCTCTCCGACCCCGTCCTTTTCCGAAAATACCTAAGGGAACTCTTATTTTACATGATTACCATTACCCGAGGTTCACGCATGAGGAAAAACAGCTCAAAAGCAGCCTGTCGTAAACTCTCACCGGGAAATCAAAACAGACTCTGATACATTCACAGAACTGGCGAGTGGCAGCCCCGGAGGCCCTGCGTGCGTCCCCTGCCTGGACAGAGGGGTCACCGTGGGTGGGACCCTGGGGTCTGCCCCGGCGTCCAGAGCCTGGGTCGCACGCAGGCCGCCTCCGAAGCCTCGCCGCGGTTCCCTCCACCCCCAGAGTCAAACAGGGCCCCGGACTCCGGAAGCGCGGTGCAGGGCCGGCACTGATGCAGGCGAGCAGTTTGGTCCGGCAGGCGGTTCCTTGGGCGGGCGGGCACGGCCCCACCTCGGGTGGGGATCTGCGCACGGGTGGCCGGTCCCGCTGCAGGAAGCTGAGTGCGGGTCAGACACGACTTCTCCTGGGGCCCGGAAGGCCTTTCTGGGCGCTTAGCTGGCGGTGGGCAGGCGGTCGGCGGCGCAGCGGAACCCCAGGTTGGAGGCGGAGCTGTCCGGCGTGTTCTGGCTCCGAGCGGCGCAGCGGTACCTGTAGCAGTAGGACTGCGCAGAGGGGAGGGGGGTGAGTGCTGGGGGCGGGGGGGCCCGCAGGCTGCGCCCACGCCCCGCAGACAGGGCCAGCCCTCCTGCACACGCAGCGCGCGCGCGGCACCCCCGAGTTCAGCACGGACCAGCCAGGGTCCGACGCCTCACGCACGGGACGCAGCCGCCAACGACGTCAGGGAGCGGGGCTGAGAACGAACCGCGGACGAGCACCGGTTACGCGGGTGAGGGCGCCTCCACGTGTCAGACCGATAAGCAGCCACTACAAGCCACATCTTTACGTAACATTCAACGGCAGGAAATGCCCGTGGTGCAACGGCAAATGAAGAAGCCGGAATACAAAACCGGATGTGCATCTAGGTAATGAAGTCCGCCGGAGAAAAGCAGCCCGCAGATTCGAAACGCACTGCGGTGCCCGGAGCACCCGCCCTCGGGCCAGGGAGCCCGCGCCTCCCACACTGCGCGTGCGTGCAGGGCGCTCACGGCGAGTCGGCTATACAAGTACATCCGAGGAGGGTCTCGGAGTTTGCAGGCGGGGAACAGGGCTAGGCAAAAACCCAGAAGCGCCCCGAAGAAGGAGAAAAGTCGGAAGTTGTAACAGTGAAAAGCACATTCTTGAGAATCGGCAGTCCTGCCCTCTCAGCCCTGGAGCGGTGCAGGGCGGTTGCCAGCCCGTCACGCATCAGGGCCTGGGAGAGGCTGTGGGGCCCAGCCAGCCCGGCCAGGATGACGGCCGCCAGCTGGAGGGGTGCGTGAGTCCCGCGCGGCCATCAGAGCGCCACCCCGGGGGTGCAGGCGCGCACGCAGGCCCTGGCCCAGGAAGGAGACGGGCAAAGCCACGTGCCTCCCCAGACTCGAGTCCGAGCAAGTATGGAGTCTTGCCTCCTGCCTCCAGCTGCGTCTTGTAGGAAGCAGAGAAAATCATTCTTTTATCTTCATTTTATGTGTATCATTTGCTTTATAATTTTTAATGCAATGGAAACGTTTTGTGTGCACACCAGGAAAGCTGAAAACCAGCGACAGCAGGAAGCCCTGGGCCGCTGTTGGGCCTCCGCAGCCCCGGCACCCGCCCTGTCAGCGAGGACGCGCTGAGCCCCCTGTCAAGGCTGCTGTGGGCCAGGGCGGAGCGCCCCGGACCACCCCGCCCCCACCCCGCGGCCCAGTTTCCCGGGCGAGCGCTCCCTGAGCGGACACTCCCCAAAGAGCAGTGGGTCCGAACCCCAGAGCGGGCCGCCAAGGGGACACGCTCTCGAGGAGGACGCGGCCTGGTCTGAACGTCCTCGCTGCTCCCTCCTCCCGAGTCCACTTTTGGCACCAAAAACAGCTATTATTAGCGAGGTTAGAGCTTCGGGAGGCTGAAATATGGGTCATTTCACTAATTAAGAACACTTCATCAAAGTGGCTAATTACTGTGTGAAACTGATCTCAATACCTGAGCTAAGAATGTCGTCCCGGACTCGGGGACGATCCACCTGAGAGGTGACTTGCCCGCCCCAGGGCTCTGCAGGCAAGTGGGACACAGCGGGGCCTCGGTGACGTGGAGACTTTCCGGGACAAAGGCGGGCCACGGAAACTGCAGCTCATCCCAAACACCCTCACAGAAAACCGCCCGCAGCCGCCAGGTCTCCAGGTGCCGTGGACTCCAGAGCCAGATGGAGAGGGTGGGGGGCACTGGGGGGTCCCCCTGCAGTGGGCCGAGCGGAGGCCCCACGGGGATGAACTGAACCCACTAGGTGAGCGGCTCTGAGAACGCCCAGGCACGCACTGGCGGCGCCCTCCCAGGGCCCGGGCGGGCGGGCTCTGCGTGGCCAGCGTCCGGCTTGTACACTTGCAGAGACACTGCGGCCCAGGGTGCCCAGGCCCGTGGCCGAGCGCTGGATGTGGAACCAGAGCCCTTCGGGCCCCGCCCCAGAGCCGGGCCCCTGCCGGGAGACCGCGTGGCCTCGTTTCCCCTCCTGGGCCTTGCCGCCTCCCCGGCATCAGGGGGCCTCTCACCGGTCACCAGCAGACTGACCGAGGTCACGCAGTGGCACCAGCCTCCGGCCAAACCGCAGCCACCTTCAAAGCAATGTGATATTTTCTAAATGAACTACGTTATTTCCTTTTTGTAAAATCTGTTTCCTTTCTTTTAGTGATTTTCACCTATTCACCTTAGGAATCATTGCCAGGATCCCCCCGCCTATCCAAGGACTCATCAGTTGGATCCATATTCAAGGGGAGGAGGAGAGACGGCCTGATTGTAACAGAGACGGCGGCCAGGCCAGGGTGCTGGCTCCGCAACAGGTCTCACTGAGACTCCGCCCCTGAGTGCGGGGCTGCACCACCGAGCACTACCCCCAGGCGCTTCATCCGTCAGCCCCTCCTCAGGACCTCCCGCAGGTGTGACTGGCGGGCGTGAGGACCGAGGCTCAGAAAGGCTCAGTCTGGTCCGGGGGTCTCAGAGAGCAGGGAGCAGTCAAGACCCCCGGCCCAGATCTCATTCTGGGGTCCGCAGCTCCATCAAGGAGCTACGGCCTCCACTTTCGGCCCAGTGGGAGGGGCCGGGCTCTGGGAGTAACCGGCAGCCAGCTGTGACCCCTTCCTGCCGCCCTCCCTCCTGGAACGCCCTCCTCCCCACCCCTTCGGCCAGGTCAGCACTCCGAGTACATCACTACAGCTGTGAAACGAAGAGGTACGGCTTATACGCCAAAGGAGAGAGATCAAGTGATAAAAACACTTAATCCCTGCAGAGTCCAAAAAGGGGGGGGGGGGGGGGATAGGAAAAAACAGATGAGACGGGAAGAAAAACAAACATCAACACGCCGAAATGAAGCCCGGCCACACCAACAACCCGCTCGCTGAGCATGAGTGGTCTGCGCAGCCAGCGGGGAGGCAAAGACCACGTCGGTGGATTCGGTGACCCGGAGGACGTGAACAAAGCCCCCGAAAGACACAGACCCCCCCGACGTTAATCAAGAAGCAACAGATGCTCCGCACACCCCTGCAGCTACAACTAGATGGAACCGAGAGTCGTAACTCCAGGCCCAAAGCATTCCCCCGGGGAATTCTATCCAACAGAAAAGTGGGTTTCCGGTTGTGAGTACACAAAACGGAGGGTTTATTCTTGTGCTATTACTCACTTGTTACTGTGCTATTTTCCACTCTCACAACTGTGAGCCTCCTTCTGCCCCACCACGTGTTTAAGAAAGAAACACGTAGCTTCTACACAAACCCTCCGGAACACACTCCCGGGAGGGCACTGGGGCACCCTAGTGTTCGTGCTCACACCGTTTGCACACGCTTCATTCTCCCCATTGTTGCTTGAGGAAAGAATCTTCTGGCCCTCAATTTGTACAGCGTTAACTCGGTTCCCAACTAAGAAAAGTCCCACGTGTCAGTGACAGAATGGGTGGCAATTACGGTTTCGAGACACTGTGGTGCAAAGAGAGACTCATTCCCCCAGTTTTCGGGGAAGTCTGCGCCCCCGACAGGAGGGTGCCGGTGTTCTTGCGGTGACAGCGTGAGCTAGAGAAGAAATCTGGGACCGAAGACTGATGCGCACACAGACATTTAAAGTACTGGGCTGACCTGGGACAATGGTTTTAACTTGAAACTAAAGTGAGAATTTCAAAGATAAATGTGTCCACATCTTATAAATGCAGGGGTAAAGCAGAAAGTGATGACCTCAAGTCCAGGAACTCCCTCCTAAGTGAGCGGATCGGAAACTCCCAGACACGCAGAAGACGTTCTCGCCCCAACAGACGCGCCCCCCTGCCCCAGCGAGTCCCTGACGCGGCGGGCCCCGGACGTGGCTCCGTGTCGGCGTCGCCCTGACAACGTAAAGACCCCGGTGCCCCGGGCACGCTCCCGAGAAACCAAATCGGAATGAGGCAGGAGGGAACCCAGGTGTCAGTCTTTTTATCGATTCCAGATGATTCCAGTGTGCGATGAGGGCCGCTGTGTTCGGGCGGAGTTTGTCGACGCGGCCGTCACCAGATCAGTGAGCAGCTTAACTTGGAGGCTTTGCGGGAGGTTCTGAGGCTCCCTCGGCCCGGACGGACTGAGCTGCCCCGGACGCTTCCCGCAACAACCACCTGCAGAGTGTCACCTTGCACCGGGGCAGAAAGACAGAAGGCCAGGTGCTGGAGATGCTGAAATGCGCGACTTAAAGAAAGGGGAAAGAAGTGCTGTTGGGTTTCCAAGCCCCTTGGAGTGGCTGCTGAAAACACTCCCGAGCCGCCCTGCCTCCCCAAGAACAGCCGCTGCGGCGACGCCCTCGGGGCCGACGCTCCGCGCCTGGGACGCGCAGAGGCTTCCACCAGGGACACCGTCCCCCCCCCCGCCCCCCCACCCCCGACAGCCGACCCTCACCTCAGCAGGAAGCAGCCGGCCACAGGAGCCCAGCAGGGGTCAGGCCGTGCTCCCAGGCGCACGCGCTAGAAGAGGCACAGGCCCACGCCGGTTCACGGGCCGGCCTCTCAAAGGGTCCGGATCCGACACACAGGACCAGGCTGGCCCGGGTGGTTCCCAGCGCCTGCCCCTGGTGCCGCGGCTCCCTGTGCCTGTGCCCAGACTGTCTCCCCGGCTCCGACGGGGTTGGTTAGGCGTGTACTCGCAGAAGCGGGCGGCGCACCGTGGGGCTGCTGGGTGCGGTGGACCCACGGCCTGCTGCCGGAACACCGACACAGGGCGCAGTGACTCGGCTTACCTTGTGGCACATGTAGGAGCCGCCTTTCTTCACCCGGTCCTTCCCAGACGGGGGCCCTTTCTGTGGGGGAGAGAGCTCATGAGTCTGCTGCGCAGCTGCCCTGGGGTGGGACAGAGTCCGCCTACTCCAGCCGCACCCCCGTGGCGGCCCCAACTCCCGGGTGCACTTCCCCTGCAGGCGCCATGCAGGCCTCACGCCTGCACCCCTCCCCCTCCCGACACCCACCCCCTGGCTCCCAACCACCCTCTGAGGTCCAGCCCCGCCCCTCAACGCCACATCCCCCGCTCCAGCTGACCCGCAGTTACCCGGCGTCCTAGCCGGCACCCACTGCCCCGGCCACCGCTCTGAATTACGTGATGACGTGCTCGCCATCCTACTGCGTGACGCCTGTGAGCCCTCCGCCCACTGCAGGGAGGGATCTGCTTTGTCTTCAGAACAATGTTAGGTCAGATTCACTGAGGTACAATCTACATACAATAAACTTCCTAACCTTCCTCAGTGCAGAATTCTGGTGCGTTCTGACGAACAGAAGGTCACGTGCCCGCCGTCAGAGCACAGCCTCCGAGCACAGGGTGCCCCCAGGGCTCTGCCCCCAGGGCTGCGCGCCTGGCCTGGCAGGAAAGCCGCACTTGCCAGAAAACACCACGAGGCAGGGGGAGCCGCCACTTTGCCGAAGACGGGAGAATCACTTGGGGGGGTGTGGTGGCCGGAGAGAGTCCCCTGCGTTTACATTCACCGGAGCCTCAGGAGGCGGCCCTACTCGGAAGTGGGGGCGTGGCAGGTCGGCACTTCCGGGTTAAGGTGGGGTCACACTGACCCACTGGGAGCCCCAAATCCGACGGCTGGTGTCCGAGTACCAGGGGAGAGGCCCAGAGGCGCACAGAGGAGCCAGGTGAGGGAGAGGGGGAGGCAGCGGCTGGGGGGCCGGGGGGCCGGAGCCCAGCAGGCAGCCGGAGATTCTGGCGCCCGGATGAAAGAAAGAACACGCTCACAGGGAAATCACGCGTGTGGACACGGGCACACCTGGCACTCACCCGCCCACCTCTCCACGTTAAAGAATCCCCGGGATAACCTGGTAAAAGCAGGTGGTTTCCCTGCTCTGCTTCTCTCTTCTCGGGAGCGCCGTACTCCCGGACCCTCAGGGAAAGGACAGACGGCCACGCCGGGACGGGGCAGGAAGGGAAAAGCCACAGAACCGGACACGGGGCGACCGACCGCACAGGCTGCCAGCGGGGGGGTGCTCCGCACAGGACCTGACGCGCCAACCCAGTAACCTCCGAGAACAATCCGGTAAGGACAGAAGACTGGGAAGAAGAAGGACAGGGAACTAATGTAGAACCTCACAACCTAGGAAGCTGCCGGCATGGCTCACGGCCCCCCCGCTCGCCCCCCACCGCTCTGCAGGCGGCACTGCAGGTGCGCAGGCCCAGCCACCGACGGCAGGAGCGGCCCACGGCGGCTGGAAACCACGGCGAGGGGGGCTGACCGGGGGGCTGACCAGGGGGGCTGCCCAGGGGAGCCTGGAGTGACAACTCGGACAGCGCCCAGGGCGGACCAGAAGGGTTTTCTGGTTCCCTTCCTTTGGTTAAAAAAATGCAGTAAACTGTTAAGATGCCTGAAATCTAAATGGTAGGCACATAGGTACACATTACACAATTTTCTGTGCTTTCCTGAATTTTTAGAACACTTGATAACTGAAAGTTGGGTGGGGGGGGAGGACCAGCAAGGGCTCACTGACTGTAGCCTTCAGAAGCCACGCCCAGGGTCTGCACTTGCTTCTGCGGATGACGAGGAGCCTGGGAAGCTGCTGCTCGGAGGCAGGACGGGTGGGGCCTGCTCTCCGGGAAGGTGGTCCCGGCCGCAACACCGCAGAGAGGGGGGAGGCGGGGCCCGGCCGGGAGGCTGGCGCGGTGACCCCGCCGAGGGACGACCAAGGGACGATCGTGGCTCGTCCGCTGGCAGCGGCGACAGGAACCAGAAGCTGCAAAGAGCCCAGCGATGGGCATGCGCTTCCCCGGGAGCCGGGGCTGAGTTCTCCACACGCTGAGTTTCCTCCGAGTCAGATCAGGAAGCGCATGAGGCCGCCGTGACCCGGGGCACCGCCCACGGGGACGGTCTGCAGAGCGAGAGCAACGTCCCAGAGCGAGCCAGGGCCGTGGACACGACGGGAGTTTCCCCGCAAGGCCCCAGAAGAAACTCGAGCACTTGCGAAGCCGAGAGCCGAGAGCGCTGCGCCCCACGCCAGATGGTCAGATGGCGGCAGGCACCGCCTGCCAGCGCCCGGGCCTGGCACACCCCCCTCCCCCGAACAGGCAGACGCCTTATCTGGGGAAAGGCTCCATTTCCGATTCCAGCAGCCGAGGCCAGGTCCCATGGCGCCAGCAGGCGAGAGCCGCCTCTGCCTGCCACACGCCCCGCCAGGTTTTCACAACCTGCTCTCGTCTGGAAGACGGGAGCGGTCTTTGACCACTCTTCCCACCGGCCCCGCCCGGAGGGGCGAGGGAACCCAGAGAGAAACGACAGTTAGGGAAGAGCTCAGCTCTTTCAGCTGTCCCGAGAAAGGAGGCCCGAGTCCCCCGGTCACTCGTGCGCGGCCCACGGTTACGACGCGGGGAGGGGGAAGCCAAGGGCACCGAGCAAGGATCCCCACCTTCTGGACAACGGCCTGGGGCGCAGAGTCGGGCAGAGGCTGCGATCGCTCTGAGCTGTTTCACTCAGATGAGGAGAGATGACACAATTTTCTTGATCGTTCTCTCTTGTGCCTTTTTCCGAAAGGGTAAGGTTTAAACTAAGCACACCAAGTTCCCAGATGAGCTGGCTCTGGTATAAATACACACTCTTCGACCTGAGTTATGAATATCTAGTTTGCCAGGGATGGGATTTTTACACGGTATTTTCCTCCCAATCTGTTCGCACAGCAAAAGAACATCAGACGTGTTCTTCTCAAGAGAGGCGCTTCCCACACGCACAGCCACACAGCGCCTCGCTTTCTGGTGGTCCCGCTGAGAGACAGACCCTGGCTTTGGAAGCGGGGCGGCGCTCCAGCTGCTCTCAGCACCCCCCACACTGAGCAGGCCCACCTCAGACGCGTGTGGTGTCTCCGATTCCCGAGGTGCACGAGGAACGGAACTGACACCCCCCTAGTTCAGGAGCCCGTCACCAGGTGACTCGGCCTCCGCCCAGGAACACCATGCCGCGGACCCCACCAGGCGCCGATACGGCGCCAATGAGTCCTGCGCAGTTATTTACGGAACAGAGCTCTTACAGGCCGAGTCCCTCCCCGAGTTCTCACATCACGGCCCGGCCCAGCAGCACAGAATGCCCCGACACTCCCCCACGCTGCCTTTGGGCTGAACTGAGAGACAGGTACCTAGCGTGCCCCTGGGGAAACTCCAAGGCTAACCCCAAGAGCACACAAACGCCCCTGAGAAACACAGAAGTCAAGTCCTCGCCCCGGGGCGGACGCGCCGAGGCCGCTACTCACCGGGTTGCGGGCGTCCTGGGCGGAGTGGTGCACCGCCCACCAGTCGGAGGTCCACTCCCACACGTTGCCCACCACGTCGTACAGGCCGTAGGCGTTCGGCGGGAAGGAGCCGACCTGAAACCACACGGGAAAGCGCGGTGGGGCCGCGGACCTCGCCAGGGAACCGCGGCAGTGTGGGAGAGCACGAAGAGCTGTAACTCCCAAGTCTGAGCATTAATTTTCATCCCGCAGCCAGCACGCAGTCTGGCCCATGCAAAAACAAGGAAACACAGGCTCAGGCGTTTTTGGCTTTGAGCTCTCGGGGCAAATTAGATATGCCAAGAGAGTCTCTACACACCGCGTGGTAGGGAAGCCGGCAAAATCGGTCGTAACAGAGCAGTATGGGCCACAGACCCAACCTGCACCCCAGCATGCAGCGCCTGACCGCCGAGCCAGGGCACCGACCTCCTTCCCTTGGTCGTCAGGTTACAAAGTGACGACGGCCAACACCACTCCGGTCATAGGTGTGAATGAACCAAAATTACACCTGGGTTTGTTTTGTCGGGGTGGCAAACAGTGTATTTGTCAGTATGCTGTGGAATTTCAGTAACCGGTTTACTCGTGCAGGAGAGGAAAGGGCTCACGGTGCCGCCGTGTCTGACGGGGCGGATGACACTGAGACCTTCGAAAGCGTGACCGAAGCGCTGTGTTCGACCCAACGCACGTTCGCCGTCGGAGCGGAGCCGCACTGGCCACACGCGGCCACTCAGCACTGACAGACCCCACGCTGACACTGTCCTCTCCACCGCCCCACCCCACAACTCAGCATGTGATCCAGGGGTGTCCGGCCAGCGGCCCAGGGTGGCTGTGAGTGCGGCCCAACACAGAATCTTAAATTAAACAGCATGAAGTTTCTGCGATTACGTGTCACGGGGTATTTAACGTGTGGCCCAAGACAACTCTTCTTCCAGAGTGCGGCCCAGAGACGCCCCAGGCTTGGACTCCCCCGATGCTGACTTTTAGCCTAGGCCATTAGCACCCACACCCCGAGGGGACCCTTCCAAGGAGGAAACTGAGTTCGCGGTCTCTGGAAGTACCACAGACAGTCCAGGTTCTGCAGCAAGCGGTGACATCCCCGAGAAAGGCGGGTCACACCCATCTCGGGCTGGAGCCACAGCGCGACGCCTCTGTCAGGGGAGGAAGCGAGGGGCGCCAGAAACCCCTCAACTGAACAACGGCAAGAGCAGAGCAGTTTTTCTCTTTCAGTGACTCAGATTTGTTTCAACGTTTTAAAATAGAAAGCTCAAACAAAAAGTTTCATTTTTAACTTTAAAAAATCAAGTTATCCTTCTTTTTTAAAAAAAAAACCTTTCCCCTGTACCAATGAAGTGGGACTGAAGGAAGGAGCAAGTTGGAATTCCTTTCTGTGTGGCCTCAGGTGACGTGGGAGCGCGGGGAGCTCGGGCGGTTGGAGCGGGGGCGCTGCTCCGGGAACCCATCCCGGGGGCGGGGGCCACGGGCGCCCCCGCTCTGCCGGGTCCTCTGCCCTCGCAGGGGACACGGTCCGGCCCGCTCAGTGGGGCGCTGGCTCGCTCCACGCGAGTCCACCAGAGGCAGGAAGGAGCTCAGTGACCCAGACCTCAGGCAGCTCAGCGAGGGAGAAAAGAAGACGATCCGGGAATTTTTTTTACAAAGTCGACTCTGAAAGGCTGAGGGAAATGTTTTTAAATTTCTGGTAGGTCAAGGGCCTTCTCCCTCTTCAGGTCTTGCAAACTGTCTTGTGTATAATAAAACACATAAGACACACGTTTGTTATTTGTTTATTGCTTCAGCTGAAGTTTTGGAATCATTTGGTCACATTCATAAATAAATGCTGAAAGAGTTGTGTTTGCGTGGAGCGAAGACACGAACATTAAGCAGCGACAAGGACGTGGGAGACCAGTGTAAGCACACTGCAGCCCGAGAAACAGCGAGCCCGGGACGGCTGCTCCCACCGGGAGGCCGCCCTCCCTCCCCGCCTCCCTCCCTGCTGCGTGGAGAGAGGAGGGGTTAGTCTGGCCCTGCCTCGGCGGCACGTGGCGGCACCAGCAAGGGGGCAACAGTGAGAAGGGGCCTGGTGCACGCACGCACGCACGCCCCGCGGGAGCTGTGCCCAGGCGCTCCGGGGAGTGCCCTGGCCGGACACTCAGGAGCCTCATCGAGAAAGTGTTCTAGTCTTTGACGCACTAACGTCCCCGCTGGGGATGCATCTCACGAGTATTACCAGGGACACAACTGAACGTTTATGAACCAGACAGTCACCGTTTCCGCGTTCAGCCAAAAGGACAGGCACAGCCTGGTTCGTGACAGTAAGCGGCGGATACGTGAGGCCCGCTCGGGGAGCGGGGGGGTCTCCCGCAGGCGCTGAAAGACCGTGTGCTGGCGAGGAGCTGCTCGGGACAGGCGCACTGTCCCAGCCGGGAGCCACAGGGCTCGGAGGGCTGTGGTTGGTCTGACCCAGGAGCAGTGCCAGGCAGTGCACGGCACCTCCGCCCAGGAACGCCCCCCACGTGCCGGCGGCTCGCCTGGGACTCGGGGGCAACAGCGCCCACCCCCCAGAGCTGCATCCACACTCAACGAGGCTGTCCGTGCCGACGGCTCAGCGCCACGCCCAGCACCCGGCCAGCACAGCCCGACCACCAGCCACCGTCAGTGTCGTTGACAGGACACGGGAGGAGACGCCCCAGACGCTGACGGGGTGAGGTGGGCGAACGCAGGGCCTTTGGGTTTTCTCCCTTACCCTCTCCTTGTGCACAGTGGGGGGCGAGGGGGGTGGGGGGAGCCAGGCGGCCATCCGCCCCTCCTCGCCCCGGTCCCCAGAGCTGCCAGGAGCCGCACTACTCACGGGCGCGGTGCCGCGGAAGCCGTCCTCGCCGGTGTCGACCACGGGGAACTCGCCCTGCCAGATGTTGGCGTAGTGCCGGCCTCTGGGCTGCAGCTTGTTGCCCCAGGGGAACAGCCTGTTGTGGGGGAGACGCAGGGTCAGCCGTCCCCCCCGGCCCAGGCCTCCGGACCGGACCGCAGAGGAGGGCAGGGGCCCAGTGGAGGCGGGAGCGCGGCTCGCCCACCCCGAGTGAGCCACGTGGACTCAAACTGCAGACGAGTGAAGATCACGGCTTTCACCGGGATGCTGTGACGTCTGCGTGGCGAGCGCCCGTCTCGTCCCCCGGGGCCCCGGTCTCCGGGGAGCTCAGGGGCCGGAAGAGGCCGCGGCGCTCACAGGGCTTCCGGGAGGCCGGGGGGTCGGCCTCGCCCCGACTCCCGTGGCAGGGGGTGGGCCACCGTCACCCCGCACACGCTCACAAAGGCTTCACTGTTTTAAGGACCTTTCCCAGGTGCGGCCCGCACACCGGTCGTCTGCTGAGTGGCTCCCCGGGCAGGAGGGGAGGCCTGGATGGAGGAGCGGCGGCTGTCGGACAGACTCTCTAACCAGAATGGGCCGCAGGTTTGGGAAGGGTCAGCGCGGGGCGGGGCAGGACGGTCCCCCGTACCTGTCGCGCAGGCCCCCCCGGCAGCTGTACTCCCACTCGGCCTCCGTGGGCAGGCGCTTCCCGGCCCACGCGCAGTAGGCCGCGGCGTCGTTCCAGGAGACATGGAGCACCGGGTGGTCTGGCCTGGGGACAGGGAGTAAGGGGGACACGGACAGGGTCAGGGCACGGGAACCAACATCGCCCACGGCAGCCATGGGCCAGCTCGGAGCCACCCAGGGCTAACCGACACAGCAGGAGCAGCAGGCCCAGCCATTCTGGCCACCTGTGGGCCAATCCCACAGGCCACGGGTCCCCAGAGTCCCTGCAGGAGTGGCTGGGACTCCCTGGGCCCACCACACAGCCTTGGCTTCCCCGTCGGCCCAACCCCACACCCCCACCCGGACCCCTCATAGGCACCCCCCCCCCCAACAAGCATTCTGCTCACTGAGCTGTGCCAGCACCTGTGTCCCCAGAGCCCAGCCTGGGACACTTGGCCTTGACTGTGTGGCTCTGTGCTGCACTTTAGCAGCCACTCTGCCTTACCCCAGTCAAGTCCAGCACATCTGTTCTCGAAGGGTGTGAAGGGGCAGAAAAGGCCGGGAGAGTTTCAGATCAGAGGACACAGGCATTCACCCAGCACCAGATAACCTCGACCCGGCCTGCTCGACTCCAGGGGGCTCTGCCCCCTCACGGGTCCCTGGTGCGTCTCTGAGCTGCCCCAGGGACAGACCACGGCCGCACGCCTCCAGCAAGGTGCACCGGGTGCCTGTTCGGGGGCCAGGCACTCACTCCCTGTTCGTGGGACTGAGAGATCGTGTCCTGTCTCAGAAACGGACTCGGGGGCTGGAATGCATCCCCTCCGGGCTGCCCCTCCCTCTGAGCTCCGTCTCCTGCCGTTAAACTGGAGAACGATGTTCCCTGGGAGCCCGGAGGCCCAAGCCCACCCTGAGGCGCCCCAGGGCCCCATGTGGCGTTCCGCCTCCCAGTCCAATTCCCCTGTGCACGTGCCGCAGCTGAGCTCCACAGAGGCCCGGCTCCCCGGCCAGGAGGGCGGGAGCCAGGACGTTGTTGGCAAACACAGGGACTCAGGGGCTCAGAGCCCTGCCTGAAGTAGGTCAGCGGGCCGTCTCCTGGGCTGCGGAGACGCCCCCCCGCCCCTCCCCCCAGCCGAGAGCGCTACTCCACTTCTGCTCCAGCTAATCGTCTCCCTGCCGCCTCGAGCCTCGCCACCCGACATGCCGCTCCATGGGCGTGCGGTCGGACATGGCTCCGACGTATGTCGGCACAGGGCTGGAGGGGACGGGCCCCGGCCCGAGCTTCCACGGAGGCCACCCGGCCGGACACACTGCTTGTCCGCAGTCAGTCTTCTCACTGACCAGTCACGCGAGGAGCACGGGACAGGTGGCCGTGACTAGACGTGGCACGCGACTGGCAGCTGGCCCGTCAGAGGGGCGGAGCCCCCGGGGAGGCAGCTCCTTGACGTACGAAGGAGGCGGAAGGAGGCGCCGAGAAGAGCCCTGTCCACGCCGGGCGCGGCAGCACACGGGCCTTCCCATGAACCTGTCCCTTCCTGCGGGTCTACCTTCCTAGGCACCTGCCGCAGGAGTGTCCCGCCTGCGGCCCCGGACGGCTGGGAATGCGGCCCAACACAGGATCCTAGATTCACTTAGAACATTATGAGATTGTGTGTGTGTGTGTGAGAGAGTGTGTGTGTGTGAGTGTGTGTGAGTGAGATTACGTGTCGCAGGGTATTTAGCGTGTGGCCCAGACGCCCAAAGGTGGGGCCGCCCCGTTTCAGGCGAGGACGCGGCCGAGCTCCCTCTCATCGGCACAGCCGTCTGTCCCGGAATGAACCGCGTCCCTGGGGAAGGACCCCGCAGCTCACCTGTGCGCGACCGTCGAGTCAGGCCCCTCGGGGTGTCTCCAGTCGGCGCCTTTCACGGGTAACCACCAGGGAGCGGCTGCCACCTCGGAGCAAGCAGAACACGCTGGAGTCAGCGGCCAGCTGCGAGGTCGCCCGCACGCGCCGCCTGGGCTCCGTCCAACTCCACCACCAGACAGACGCCCTGGCCGGGAGGCCAGAGACACAGGCTTCCTCGTGAAGAACCCTGAAGAGCAGGCGCTTCTCGCACGGTAAAGCAGCGCTGCCGCACCAAGGACGCGGGCGCTTGCTTAGGGGGGCTGCCTCTCCGAGACCCCGCAGGGGAGGCACCCCAGGCCGTCCTCTCCGCCCGACGGGTGCTGCCAACAGGGGGCAGCACTGCTGCCCAGCAAACGACAGGACGACTGGCGCTGGGTGAAGGTCGGTGACGGTGGGCGGAGCCCAAGGCGAGCGCAGGGCAGAAGGCTGGGGCGTGTTTTCCAAAGAGCCCAGGGTGGTGCCCAGCCCAGCACCTGCTGTCTGGCCCCCAGAGCCCTGGCCGTGACAACGGTGGCAGCAGCCCCCACCACAGACCATGGAGGTGGCCACGCCTGCAGCCCTGCAGTGCTGGCCAGTGGCTCCCACGCCTGCAGCCCTGCCTCGTGGCCCCGTGAGCCCAGACGCGGCAGCAAGTGGTCCCCAGTCGGTGACTGGCTCAGAGCCTCGCCTTGGAGCCAAAGATCCGAATCACGGCTCTGCAACCCACAGTGTGACTGACCCTCGGCCACCTAACCGCCCCGTCCAAACCTGTTTCCTCAATTTCAGAGACAGGGACGGAGCGCGCCCTCCTCCCGGGCAGTTACACGGCAGGGTGGTAACGTGCCGACACCCGGCCAGGAGCGAGCCCCCGGTAAAGAAAGGCACGGGGTGCGCCCACGGCCTCGGGACAGGCCGGCAGCAGGAGAGCCACGGAAGATCAGGTCCTGCAGGGCCACTAAGGCTAGTGAAGTGGCAGACGCTCGCAGACGGCTCTCCCAGCGGAGCCCGCGTGGTCGCCGGGGTGGTCACCGGCACCCCGGGGAGCTCAGTGGACGAGCGTGGAGGGAAGGGGGCGGGCCGTCAGTCACAGCGCCTTCTCCACCCGCTGCACGAGCCCCTCTCTGCATTTCAGCTGTGTTTTCACCTTTCTCAAAATAGTAAACATAACGTGCTGAACATGGTGCGTATTTTCTTCCATCTTCCATATTGAAATGACACAAAAATTCACCAATTTTGATAAGCTTTTTTTTTAAATGCATGCTGATATGACAGCTGTCACAATACAATCTAACAAAATTGTTTCAAGTGAAGTTAAAGACACTAAGAGCTACGAGAGCCATCTTCCAGGAAAAAAAAAACAACTTTCTGGCCGACCCAGTAGATAAACTAGCACCTAGACCAGTCCCTGGCACATGCGGCAAGAGCGACGACACAAGAGTGAGCTGCCATCGCTGGTTCTGTCGGTGACCGCGTGCTGCGATGTCCTCCTCGACCCGTCAGAGGACGCGCATCCTGATTAGCGGAAATCTGCCGCGACGCTCCCGCAGCAGGAGCCTCGGCCAGCCGCCAGCTCGCCCTTCTCCGGAGACTGGTGGCCGAGGGGGTCAGAACACGGGTCGCTCCCAGAGGGCTCTCAGGAAGAGCACGTGGCTGTCACCTGGCATCACTGTAGTGACGTGAGAAGCACCTGCAGGTAAAGTAATGCCCCCCAAAGCAGGCGGCACCCTTAGAGGGAGAAGTGGGGGGCGGGGTGAAAGCAGGCAGGAAGCACCTATTCTCCAAGCCTGAGGCCTGGAGGAGCGCCAGCCACGCAGCGCGCACCTGCGAGACGCCGCACGTCCCAGTGGCGACGGGCAGATGCAGGTCAGGAGCCGTGTCCCCAGGTGACACTCGAAGAGGGAAAGACGAGTAACCGGTCACCCCACCAGGAGGACGGAGGAAACCACGGGGGACGTCACTCGTCCCAGCCAGGCGCCCTGGGAGAGCCACCGTGTTTTCTGGCCGAACTGATGGCACGTCTGTCAGGAGGCGCCCTCCGCTCCCACGTGCCGCTGCCAACGGCGTGTTTTTACGAGCTTGTTCTTGACCTGCTGGCCGTGCCTTGAAAACGAGTGCCGCCCGACTGCGTTTAGGAACTGAGAGACAACCCTTGAGAGTCGTACAGGAGCCGAGTCATCGAGGCCATGTTGCCCATTCTGACGTATCTCTCTCTTTTTCTGCATCGGAACAGCCTTCAGGTGCGCTGTGTGCAGGGGACCGGCAGCAACGAGAGTGGCTGGCGTCTATGATAAACCCTGCCCTAAAGGGAAATTGGGGGGCCGTGTGGTTGCTCACCCCCACACTTTCTGTTCAACTGAGCCACTTCCAGAATGTGGCTCATCCAGGGAGGAAGGACTGTGGTGACTTATTTTTAGTCGCCCATCTCCATAGCAACTGTCTTGGGCTTAAGTTGAAACAGCTGCACCAGACAGCCAGCGGCCAATTATAATGTAAATAGGATCCGGGTGAGCAGCACTGTCCCCGTGAGAAACAGGCTGGACGGGGGAGCTCGCCCCTCCCTGGGGACGCGGCCAGCCCCGCAGTAACAGCCCCCAGAGAAGGGGAAGAGGGCAAGGAGCCGTTATTCCGCCGGAGGTGGTGGCTGCGCTTGCACACTGGTCTGGAGGCAGGTCGGCGCAGGCAGAGAGACACAGCGCCGCGTAACTACGCACTTGCGCAGGTGAAGACGGCAGGTTCACGGCCCTACCACCTTCCCTCAGGAGTCACATGCGCTCGGACAGGCCGGTGAAAAAGATGGCCGTCTCTCGAAACGCAGTACGCGCGCACCAGTTACGCCTATAAAGAGTGCCTGGGCCAATTTTCCAGCGGGCACCGGGGAACAAGGAGGAAGGACCCGCGGACCTGTTCAAATCCGTGTGACACTTAAAAGAAACGGGAGGCGGATCGAGCCACCGACAGAGTCACACAGAGCGGAGAGCAGGCTGGGGAGCCCTCCGCCCAGCGCCCGGTGCCACGGTGGAGAGCGGGCGGCGCGCTCGGACTCGGAGCGCGCACACACCCGGCGTCAGAACAGGCCGGCGGGCGGTCTGACAGCTCACTGCCAGCTCCCCCCAGATCGGGCGCATGACTGCTGGACGGAATGGGTGAGAGGGGAAAACGCACGTCTTTTCAAACACGGTATAAATATTTACAAAACTCGAGGCAAATATGAAACTTCCCAATACGTTCTGCTCCCACTCCTAGCGCAACAGCTCTCGCTGGAACACGACGCGCCCCGCCCCCCCCCGGGCGGCAGGCGGGCCGGCCAGACAGGCGGCCGTCCCTGCGAGAGGCTGGAGGCCCGGCCGAGGGACCGCTGCGCGCACGGGACCCCTGCAGGCGACTGGTGCTCTCGTTCCCAGGAGAGAGCGGCATGGACACGTGCAGAGTCGATGCGGGCTTTTCAACTGCCGACAGAAACAAGAGAAAAGGACGCTTCGCCGTTTAAAAATCGTCTTTCCCTTCTTCAGGCACAGAGGCGGCCGTGCACCGGGGTGCGGCCGCCTTGAAAGCACCCAGCAACCGGCCACCGCGGCGCGGGCCCAGCTGGGGACCCACCGCGCCCCTGCGAGGGAACACAGCAGCCCCCAGAAGTCACGCGAGAGAAGGAGGAAAAAGCGCGATGACTTAGCGAGACCGACACCCCCTACCGGAAGTAGGCAGCGCCCGCAACGAGGCGTCTGCGCACAGGCGCATGCGCACTCCCGCCCCAAGGAGCGGTGAGCGGGCGTGCGCGCCCCGGGCTGTCTGCAGTGGGTGCCCGGTTCGCTGGGCTGCGGGGCACGTGCGGCGGTCTTTCGGGGCCACTTTTAATTTCTCAGTTACCTACAGGGAGCAGGCTTTTACACAGGCGTCCGAAGTCTCTTCTCTCAACGGAGCCAAGAGACTTGACTTCGCGTTGGAAAAATAAAAGCAAGCAACAGTGAACACATTAACTATTTATTCATTTAATTGTACATGACCTATATGCACCATGCTACCGCGAACTTTATTTTTATGTCCACCTTCCAGGTTCACCATCGACAAGCACACACGTTCTCACGGCTTTATCAGGTTGTACGTTGTTCTCACTGACTGCCTTCGCTGCTTCCCCCAGTCCCATCTGGACCGCACGACACACCCTTTGCACGGCTGCCACACTTTGCACGTTTGCCACGCAGCTGCACCGTCAGGGACCCGACGCTGCCCCAGCATCGCGCCCCTCCGGGTGGGCTCACCTCGGGGTCTCTCTGGCCGTTCGGGTAGCACTACAGCGAACACCCTCAAGCACCTTCATGTCCACCTTCCGCTTCTGCGAACCCTCCCGACGGGGCCCCCTGTCCCTGAGAGGGGGTCGCCACAGCTCCTGCTGAAAACCGTCACTTTGAAAAACCGACGGCGTCGACCCATGGTGCGTGAGCGCCCCCACCCCGCCCCCCAACAGAAGGCCCGCCGGTGCACAAACCACAGCCGTCCCCTGGGATGTCGACCACGCCTCTCTCGAGGAGGCTCCGCCCGGGCGCCTTCGGCGGTTCCGTGTCCACGGGCAGGACCGGGGTTACGGAAGGTCTGAGTGTCTCCGTCCCTTACTGCACTATCTGCGTCCCTGACAAGCTCCGAGGCTCCCGACCAGAAAGGGTCAAACAGAGGGCAGAGCACAGACAGGGGCCCTGAGGAGGGGAAGTCCTCCCCCTCCTGCTGTCCGGGGAGGGGGCCCACACAGGAACAAGCCCACCTGTCCGTCATCTCTGAGACAGAGGAAGAGGAGGCGCGGCCCTGCCCCGGAGGGGACAGGCCCTCCTGCCTCGGGTCTCGGGTCTCAGTCGAGGACCTGCTTCCTGCCTGTCTGCAGGGACAGCCGCCGGCGCGGAGGGAGCTCCTGGTCCCCACACTGCACGGCACCCAAACGCCCGGCCAGCAGGGATTCGCTGCCAAGGGCCAGGGAGTGAATCGAACCCCCCCTGGGCCGCCTTCCCGACGTCTGTAGGACACCACCAGGCGCCCACCGCTGAGTCTCCCCGAGGCTCAGGGTCCCGGGGACCTTCCCCGG